CTAGGATAACAAGAAAGAGTTTCTTTGTGGTGATGAAACAGTTCTGCACCCCATTTGAGGTAACTGATTACACAAATCTACACAAGTGGTAACATCTGACAAAACTATACACACACATACACACACACACACACACACACAAAATGCATGTAAAAACTGGTGAAATTTTATTTGAGTTCATAGTATTAAGTTGGCCAAAAAGTTCGTTTGGTTTTTATCTGTAAGATGGCTCTAATAGAGCTTAGTTGTCTTTAACTTCATTCAAAACAATTTTGTTAGATTGTATTGTGAGAGCTGTCATATCAGTGTGCATTTTATTAAAAATTTATCAAAATTGGTGAATTTTTGTGTAGCCACTTTAATATTAAAGATGGAAGAAAATACACATTTTTATATTATGCTTTAATCTTTCAAGAAAGGTAAAAAAACGCAACTGAAGCACAAAAAAAAAAGGTTTGTATTTGTGCAGTGTATGTGGAAAGTGCTGTGGCTGATCAAACCTGTCAGAAGTGGTCTCCAAAGTTTCATGCTGGAGATTTCTCACTGGGCAATGCTCCCCGGTCAGGAAGACCAGTTAAAGTTGATAGCAATTAAATCGAGACATTGAGAGCAATCAATGTTATACCATAAGGAAGATAGCCAACATACTTAAAATATCCAGATCAATAAAGTTACTGGTGAAAATGAATAACGTGTCTTTCATTTTACAGAAAAAACTAAATGGACTTTTTGGCCAACACAGTATTATGCCAATGTCAAGCTCCTGGTTTTGACAATGACCTATAGTTATACAAGATATCACCACTAGGGGAAGCTGGATGAAACAGAACTGGCTTAATTCATTAAAAGCTCACGGAACTAAACTTAAACTAAAATGAATGAAGAGCCCTGACCAGTAGGGCTCGGTTGGTTGGGCGTCATCCCAAAAAGTGAAAGGTTACAGGTTCAATCCCGGATCAGGGCACATGCCTGGGTTACGGGTTCAGTCCAATCAGGGCATATGAGAGAGGCAACCAACCAGTGTTTCTCTCACATATAGACGTTTCTCTCCCTCTCTTTCTCCCACCCTTCCCCTCTCTAAAAATAAATAATAAAATAAAATTCTTAAAAATAAAATGAATGAAGAGCCAGCTTGCACATACAAGTATGTAATGATAAAAGTAGAACAGATTACATCAAACCAAGTACCAGGGAAATTTGTACTCTTTTTGCAACTTCTTGGGAGTCATATTATTTCAAAATAAAAGAATTTTATTAAAAAATAAAGGAGTTAAAAAATAATTTATAACAAAAAATGGAAAGAGCCCAAATGTCCATCAATGGATAAATGGGTAAAGTGTGCTATACCAATACAAGAAACATTATTTAGCAATATAAAGGCATGTAGTACCAATACATGTTACATGGATGAACCTTAAAAACATTATACTAAGTGAAAAAAATTAGAAATTAGACCATATATTGTATGATTCCATTGATATAAAATTCCAAACAGATAAGTTCACAGAGGCAAAAAAATAAACTAGTAGTTGCTGGGGACAGGGAAGAATGGGGAGTAATTGCTAAATAAGTACAGAGTTTCTTTGGGAGGATGATGAAAATGTTCTTGACTTAGATAATATTGATGGTTACAAAACTTTATGAATATATAAAAAACCAGTGAATTATAAATTTTAAAAGATAAACTTTGTTACATAAATTACACCTCAATAAAAGTTACCTGTAGGAAAAAAGTCAACAAATAAAAAATACCTTTTAAAGGTTCATATATACACATGCCCCAAAGCCACAATCTATCACAAGCCATGTGATTTAGCTAATTCTTAAGATTCAGGACTGAATGACACTGTGGTCCTTCCTGATGCTGGTCACTCACAATCAGCACAATTAGTAATTGGCAAACTAACTCATTGGAACAATAAGACTAGTTTAAAATTTAGACTCTGCTAAGTAGGGATAGCTTAATCTTACTTCTGACTACTACAAGTTCTAGATACTAAGAAATGGAATGACCTAATTCATAAAAGCTCACAGAATTAAACTAAACTAAAATGAATGAAGAGCCAGTTTGCACATACAAATATGACACAAGTAGTCATTTATATCAAACCAGGCCCATGTAGTCACATAGTAAAAATTCAAGTTTGACAGTCATTATATTAATACAGTTTAAATTTAGCCCTAGTACATATGCCTTTTCCACCCCTAAAAACACTGGTCATTAGGAAACCTGAATTCTGGATCAAACTAAGTTAATTGCATGACCTTAACCTCTGTCAGAGCTGCCTGTAAAATGAGTAGTACACCTCAGACTCCCAGACTCCTGAGGTCTCTTCCACCACCTCTTCTCTCTAGCACCACTCCTTTCATCCTAAAACAAGTCATCATTCTCCTAATGGCCTATAAGGTCAGGCCTTCCTCACTCTGACTCCTCCACCCTCCCATCACCATTCTTTTCTGTAGTACCCCAGGCCCCTGACCTTAGGGTTCCTCCAACATTCCTAGCCCATTGCTCCCCAGAACTTTACCACATTCCCTCATTCCAACTTTGGTTTAATGTCATCTCAGACAGTTGTGTGCGGACCCTAGTCCCAGGCTGCCTTGATTCAGTTTAGCAGCTGGGCATGTTCCTTACTCATGCTGTGTCCCCATTTCCTGGTCTGTAAAATGATGGTAACAACAATGTCTACCTCAAAGGTAGAGTGACAGGCAGGTTCAAATGCCATCACTATTACTTAAGGAGCCTCATCTTAATATTCTCCATATACCATAGCACTATCTGAAATCAGCACCTTTGTCATCCTTGGGGAGAAGTTCTGTTCCTCTTATTCAAAGCTCTATCACCACCTCCTAGGAAAGGCATGCAAATAATGTCAAATACATGCAGAAATAAATATCAAGCATTCCTTTAAAAATAATGTCTTGATTCAAAGAATCAAGTCTTGGCTTTAGGCCCTGGCCAGATAGCACAGTTGGTTAGGGCATCATCCCAATACATCAAGGTTGTGGGTTTGATCCCCGGTCAGAGCACATACAAGAATCAACCAATGAATGCCTAAATAAGTGGAACAACAAATTGATGTGTGTGTGTGTGTGTGTGTGTGTCTCTAAAATCAATCAATAAATTTTTTAATGACATTGCCTAATCAAACAGTTACATAACTGGCCTGATCTCCTCTTGCTAATTACCTTGCAGATCAACCAGTTCTTTTAGGCATTGGCTGGGGGAAGGGGGGGGGCAGTCCCTCAAATCTTATCACATAAAAACAACAGACAATTGAAGAAACTGACTGATTAATCTGTGGGAGTAACAACTGAATATTGTGGATATATGCTAATTCTTCATAAACATACCACATAAATTCCAACCACAGCACACCAAAAAAGCCTGGCTCTTGGCCATTAGGAAAGCCATTCCCTGAAGTACTTACACACACACACACACACACACACACACACACACACACAGAATCCTCCCCCAAATCCCAGGCATGCTTTTTTCAATTCCTTTTCACATTTCTGAACTTAATGGGCTATGGGGAAATAAAAGTTGTGATTAAAACCCAATACTTAGGATCCTAAACATTACAGTTCTCCTTTCTTATTGGCTAAACTTGCATCACTCACCAAATGAAATACCAAATTTGAGGTTCTGATTGAGTGGAAAGCTAGCATTAATTTTTTTAAACATCTAAAACTACCAAATATTCCATTCCGGTTCCTCCCCCCAGTCCCCCAGTTTCTTTCCCTAAGGAAGGCATTATGTGGATACCCACATTTTGTGGAATCTTGAACGTACTCACAAATTATATTCTGTTTTGAGTGAACAAAAATCCTGTCATGATATACCACATTAGCAATGATTTAGGTAGTTTTCATAGATGCCACCAGTGAGTATGAAATGCCCTAGGCAGAGACCAAGGTGAATGGGAAAGAAGAAAGTCTAGAAATGCTGCAGGGTAGTCCCCTAAAGGAAACAAAAAAACTAAAAATGCTTCATGATTTTATTTAAAAATGATCATGGACTGTCATTCCGCATAGTACCAAAATTACCACAGAATGTTTCTTATTCAAAAGGAAAAGCAAAGCCACGAATCTAAAAGGAGTGGCAGATTTTCTTAAATTAAGGGGAAAAAAGGAAAAAGAAAGAGGTGGCGGCGCTCTGCAGCCTCGAGCAGCTCTCCAGGAAAGGCTTCTTGGACGCCGGCCGCTCTCACTCCGATCTGCGGCCGGGCTGGAGGTGGCAGGCAGCTGGCATGCTTTAAATATCACCACCCTATTCATCAACTCCGAGCACAATGAGGGCCGGGAAGCCGCGCCGGCGACAGCCAGAACACACACCCACCCGTCCCGTGCAACAGTCACGCTCGGCCCAAGCACAAAGTTTCGAATACAAACCTGAGCGCCCAAACGCAGAGGTCTCGGCGCTGAACTCGCGCCAGGTACAAGGCAGAGGTGAACCTCTATAGACAACCGGCTCGGGTTTTCAGCAGAAAGGCTGAGAGACAGGAGCCAGGGAGGACAGGCGAAAAGGACACGCAGAAATACACTCACTCCCTCCTCTCCCGCACACTCCGCCTCTCTTTTTCTCCAGCCCCAAAGCCCAGGTGGGAGCGGCTAAGCAGCCTCAAGCCCCACAAGGCTTGCCGGAGCCGCGTCCCTTCCAGCAAGGGCCCACGACCCTACGGCCAGTTCTGCACGCAAAGGGTGGTGCGCACGCCCGACGCCCCTTCACCCGCCTGCCCCGTCAGCCACGGCGATGGGGGGGGGGGGGCCCGGGAGCTCTGGGAACTGGCCGCCGCCGGCTTGCGCGCGCCCTCCCCGGTAAGCCCCCCTCCCCCCCAGGCAGCCCGCCGGGCGTGGAGGCGGCGAAGCACCCGAGTCCCTGGGGATCAGCCCCGCCTCCGGCCCTTGGGATCCGGGCAACATCCCCAGCGTAGTGGCGGGCTGCCCCCGACCGTGCAAGGGTCACGCTCGGCCCGAGCGCAGAGTGGACTCACTTTTTCGGATGTTTCTCTCTTTTCGGCCTCCGCTTTCGGGCCTGAATGGCCAGCACTGGGGAAAGAGAAGAGACACATTAACGGTCGGGCTGGCTGGCCTGCCGGGCCGCGTGGCGGGGAAGAGGGATCGCCGCGGGCCACTCACCTTTCCGGGAGCTCATCCCAACGCAGCGGAAGCGGGGCGGGGGTCTTCGCGGCAGCAGTGGCGACGCGCGAGCCAAACCGGGCTGCAGCCTCCACTCGTTCCGCCAGCCGGGAGGAGGCGGGAACAGCGCCTGCGCCACCGACACAGCGGCTCCCGCGGGGGGCACAACAAGACCCGCCCCCGGCCGGCCCCGCCCCCACCCGCCCGGTGGGGTCCGGGCCCAGACACTAGTGCTCTGCCGTGCGTCCCGCACCCAGCTGCCCTCCCCACTGGTGCAGAAGCGACACCCCCCCTACTACGACCACTGATGCTCGGGCCCTCGGCCTCCTCGCACTAGCCCACGACTCGGGCCTCCGCCTCCTGCGCCCCGTGGCTAGCGCCGGCCTCCAGCCTCTCCAGGGCACCCTGAGCGCGCGACCCTCCCTCTTCAGCCGCAGCCTCACCCCTACGCACCCCAGCTGGTGGCGCCGCCCGCCTCTCCATGAGCCTCTCCTTGGCCAGCGTCTCCGCGGGTCTCACACCACTGTTCTTCGAGCGGCCTTTTCTCCCCCTTTGCTCCTCTACATCCTTGCATCCCCAAGAGCACAGCTTCCTCCTTTCCGGCGGGTGTGGAAAGGTCACTGGACCAAGAGCTGGGAGACCTGGGTCCTTCACTAGGTGTGTGACCTTGGAAAAGTCATCTTATCTCACCATTACCTATCCCACAGGATTGCTTGAGTTTAATGAAGGAATAACTGCAAATAGCATGGAAAGTATAATGAAGTTTTTGCATGTGAATTAAATACTATGTGCACTACTGTTTAACCCAACAATACCGAAAATACTATAATTACTTTCTTCATCTTACAATAAAGAAACTGAATCTTAAAGAGGCTGAACAGTTTACCCAGCTAGGATTCAAATTTAGGCCTAGCTGTCTCCAAGCTCTTTCCACATACCATGCTTCCTAATAAAGATGTAGATCAAGTTGATAACGGGATGAAATAACTGCAGTGTTCCTTTGTTTCTTTAAATAACTATAATATTTTTGAAGGATAGTCATCCTGACCATTTTACTCTCACTTTGCTTACACAACTGTATTTTTATTTGATTAAAGTAGCTTAGTCTTCATTTGAAATATGCTAAACTCTACATATCAGAAAACAGTACTTAGACTTGAAGAGCTTTTTACTTTCTCAACTCAATATTTTCTATTAAAAAATATCAAATCTACAGAAAAATTACAAAAAATATAATGAATACCCATAGTAACCCTCTATTCACCAATTTTTAACATTTCACTACATTTGCTTTCCCTCTGTAAATGTGGGGTTAGGAGAATGTTTTGGTTTTGCTGCATCGTTTGAGTTTTTTGCAGACATTGTTACCCTTTACTCCTAAATATTTCAGTAAATATGTACTAAGAACAAAGATTCTCCTACATAATCAGAATTCTATTATCACTCCAAGAAAATATAAAATTAATATAATACTATTATTTGTAATATACCAAGGCCATATTCAAATTTTCAAAATGTCTTTTAGCTGACTCTTTTTCCAATCCAGAATACAATCAAGGATCATGTGTTGCATTTAGCTGTCTTGTATTTTAAAACTCCTTTAGTCTAGAATAGTCCCTGGTTTTGTTTTTTTCCAGTACAACATTGACTGTTTTGAAGAATCCAATTCTACTGTTTTGCAGAATGTTCCTCAGTTTTTCCCTATTAGATTCAAGTTAAATAATTGTATCAGGTATACTACATATGTAGATAATACTGTGTCAGTACATTGTGTCAGGATGCAGGACAGATATCATGTCAGTTTGTTCATTATTGCTGATGTTACATTTAATCATTTCATGGTGAAGTCACCTTTTTCCCTTTTTATTTAAAAAGTAGCCTGTGTAAAAAATGGACAAAAGACTCAAGAAATAGAAATTTCTCCAAAGAAGATGTATAAATGCCAACAAGTGCATGACAATATGCTCCACATTGTTAGAGAAATGCAAAGTAAAAACATGAAATACTATTTCACGTCTGCTAGAAAGACTTTAACTTTTTTAGGAGAAAGTAATTGTAAAGGATGTAGAGACATTGGACTCCTCATACATTGCTGGTAGAAATGTAAAATGATGTAATCACTCTGGAAAATAGTTTCAAGTTTCCTCAAGAAGCTAACCATAGAATTATCAGCAATTCTACTCCTAGGTATATATCCAAAAGAATTGAAAACGGGTAGTCAGACAAATCCTTGTACACAAATGTTCTGAGTAGTATGAATCACAGTACCCAAAAGGTTAGAAACCCAAATATCCATGAGTGCATGAGTAGATAAAAAAAAAACTGTGACAGAGACCTACAGTGAAATATTTTCCAGCCATAAGAAAGAATGAAGTACTGATGATGTATGCATCAGTGTGGATGAACCTCAAAAACATTATGCCACGTGAAAGAAGCCAGGCACTAAAGGTCCCATATTGTAGGACGCTATTTATAGGAAACATCCAGAATGAACAAATCCACAGAAAACAGATTGGTGGTGGCCAATGTCTGGGGGGAGAAGAAATGAGGAGCAACTGCTTAATGGGCAGAGAGTTTTATTTTGTAGTAAGAAAAATGTTTTGGCACTAGATTGAGGTGGTAAATGTACTAAATGCCACTGAATTGTTCATTATAAAATGTTTAACTTCACATTATATAAATTTCACCTCAATTTTGAAAATAGCTATCTGTGGGGTGTGAGTGTGCTTCCCCAAGAATGTTTTACTCTGTGTTCTAGCCTCCACTGATGATGCTTGCCTGAATCAAGTATTACTATAGTTGTTGTAGAATAATATTATAATCCTATCATTTCACCTGTTCTATCTATTTTAATTGACACTTGTATATGAAGAATAGCTTTCATTTCTCCTGCAATGCCTTTGTTTTCTGTTTGGAACTTGTTTTATGGTTTTGATTTTGGTATCAATATTGACAGTAGTTACTATCACTTTGATTTTTAATTCTTGAACTATCCCATATTTGACTAGGAAAGACACTTTAAACTTGCAATGTCCTTTGGATATGTACCAATCAGTTTTTGAGCACCTCTTTATATTCTGACATTTGATGTTCCAAGAAACTTTGTGCTTTTCCTAACTAGGTCACGGAACTAGCTATTTCTTGAGTCTTGGCTTATTATACAAGGCGATTAGAAGCTTTGAAGCCAAAGAAATCTGATTTGAAACCAGTTTTTTAGTATTTTAACAGCTTTATTGAGACATAATTCATATACCATACAATTCACCCACTTAAAGTAAAAAATAAAATAATGATTTTCCATATATTCACATGGTTGTGCGGCTGCCACCACATCCTAATTTTAAAACACTTTTATTCCTCCTAAAGGAAACTCCATACCCATTAGCAGCCACCCCCTATTTTCCCCCAACCTCTCCTTGCCCAAGCCCTAGGCAACCACTAGGATTCTCACTCTCTATAGACTATTCTGTGCAGGTCATATAAACACAATTATACAACATGTGTCCTTTGTGACTGCCTTCTTTCACTTAGCATAATGTTGAAACCAGTTTCGGCTACTTAATTTCTGTATGTCCTTGGGAAAGTTACTTAATTACAACATCCAGAAAATAGTAATAATATTAATACCAACTTTCCTAGATCAATATGATAATGAAATAAGATAAGAAAATATTCAATAGACAGGAATTATCATTAGCACTGGTTGAGAAACACTACCCCATCTGCTGAATCTCGAGCATTCATTTTTTCCACAAATACTTACGAAACACCTATTACATAGTAGGTATTATCCTAGGCATTATTCCATAATAGTGCACTAAGCACACAAAAATCAAATAAATATGTGAAATACACACTATGCTTACTAGATGGCAATAATATCTATGAAAAGTACACATATACACACACAAAACCCAGCAACCTTCCAGGAAGGTGTTTAGGAAAGGTCTAACTGACAAGGTAACACAATTAGCCCTGTCTGGTGTGGTTCAGTGGGTTGGACATTGCCCAGCAAACTGAAAGGTCTATTCCCAATCAGGGCATATGCCTAGCTTGCAGGCCAGGTCCCTGGTTGGGGACATGTGAGAGTGAGAGGCAACAAGAGGCAAGCAATGGATGTTTCTTGCCCTCCCTTCCCGTCTCTCTAAAAATAAATAAATAAAATCTTTTTTTAAAAGGTAGCATTTAAAGACCTTAAAATGATCTCATCAGTCATTATATTTCTATCAACTAGGAGAGAACTATACTCGCCACCTAGAATATTTGTAATGTTCATTAAAATACACCAACCTAATTAGCAACAAACACCTTTACATACATTATATTAGATGCTTAAAAAAGAATAATAAATTATAGACCTACTCTCTGTCAATATGGAAATTAAAAATTTCTTTAAGATGCGTTATAACTTAGAATGACATTTTAAAGGAAATACAAAAAAGGATAATAGTAATAGAGTATGAATTTAATATTTTTATTTTACCATCATTTATTGCTACATGAATCAATTATGTGGCCCTGTCCAGGTAGCTCAGTTGGCATAAGAGCATTGGCCAACATGTCAAAATTGCATGTTCAATTCCTAGTCAGGGTACATATAAGAAGCAACCAATAAATGCATAAATAAGTGGAACGGCAAATTGATGTTTGTCTGTCTGTTTCTCTCTCTCTCTTCCCCCCTCCCTCTCTCTGTCTCTAAAAATCAATAAATAAAAATTTAAAAATCAATAAATAAAAATAAAATATCAAGTATGTGAATTACTATTATTAAGAAGGGGAACTAATACCCTGGCCAGTGTGTCTCAGTTGGGTGGAGCATCGTCACATAACTGAAAGGTTGCATGTTAGATTCGCAGTTGCAGATTCGGTCCCAGGTCGGGCCTCATAGGATCAAGTAACTAATCAATCCTTCTCTCTTGCATCAATGTTTCTCTTTCTCCGTTCCTTTCTCTCTTCCTCTCTCTCTAAAAGAAGTGAAAAAATGTCCTCTGGTGAGGATAAAAATTGAAAAATAATAAAAAGGAGAAGTAGCCCTGGCCAGGAAGCTCAGTTGGTTAGAGCATTGTCCCCATACACCAAGACTGTAGATTCCATCCCCAGTCAGGGCACAT